GTTTCTTCTGTGACATTGCGTCCTCCATGCGGCGACGGCGGGTAGCCAGCCTATGTTTGAAAGTTGATTTTGGTTTATTTTCCACAATTTGACGACTTCGGTAATAAACAGAATATCATATTCGTGCTCATATCATACTATTTGTACGACACTCGTGCCTAAATATAGGTATATCCCTCGCTCTTGCTCGGGCAATACCAACATTTAGGCACTCGTGTCGTAAACATAGTATGACATGGGCACTCATATAATATCCTCTATACAGGTGTTTGCATAACGATATCTGGACGAAATTTTGAAATGTACTGAAGTGAGTAAAACATAAGTAATTTGGACCTATTTCGCAAAAAAACACTATTTCTGAATGAGCTCTAGCTACCTACACATAGAAAATAAAGTTTGCATTGCCTCGATATGAGTAACCTAAAAGAATCTATGAGACATTTGAACAATATGAAAAATGTGAACAGAGAAAGTCGGAAAATGGTCTGTTATATTTTTACATCCATGTGACACTGATGTGATTTGATTAAAAATTACTGTCGCAGTAACCTTGATGTATTGAGACACAATATATTATTCTTATTTTTGTCCTAATGTTCAATAACCTAATTCAGCTTGAAACATTACGAGCAAATACAATTCTATTGCAAGCGAACACATGTTTGCAATGGATGACTAGATATATTGATCAAGGATAATATCGGTGACTCCGTCACTCTGGACATAACACGGTCCAATATCATTTTTCCACACGTTCAATGAACTACCACCGCTTGACAAACTAACACACAAATACCATTCCACAACAATGTATATGACACGGTCGATGAGACCTAAATGAGTAGCAAACTAGGAAACAAAACCCACCGAATATTGTCGTTCCTGGTACGAACATAAAACACAGGTTGCATTATTCAGATAACGTCGAAGCAGGAGGCATGGTCAGCCGGCTACATGTTAACAACAGCTGTGTTATTCCACGTATATCTACACTGTGGGGTGCCCATTTGTTGCTGTCAAATACAAAATCAAATTCACAGAACTCTGTAATGAGACGCTGTCGCCAATGCTGAAACATATCATATCTTGATGTTTTCATTATTATTGCGGGACGGTGGGGTAGCCTAATGGTTAAAGCGCCGGCTCGTCACGCTGACGACCCGGTTTTGAATCCCCACATGGGCACAATGTGTGAAGCCCATTTATAGTGTTCCCCGCCGTGATATTGCTGGAATATTGCTAAAAGCGGCGTAAAACCCAACTCACTCACTCACTCATTATTATTACAAACCAGTTATATAACTTTGGCTTGACAATTTGTTGTAGTCTGTCATACAGACCCTGAAGCAAATATATCCAAGAAATCCCACGCAAGTCTAGAAAATGTGGCAAGTCTAGATTTCCACAGCTTCTGAAAATGAAGAAAGTATCAAGGCTCCTTGTTATTATATTTTGATTTTTTTCACTATGAGCCTTTTTTCTGTAAAATATGCTCATTTCAGAGACTAGTTGTTAGTCTAAACTTGTTGCTAACGTGTGACAGTCGTACGTATTTCCTTTAGAACATTTCATAATTAGGGGGCGTATTTTAGGCTCTGTGTTTCTGGTCTTACATCGCTGATTATATATACATAAATAGTTTGTCTCCGAGAAAACTTCAAGCGGTTCCTAACTAGGCTAACTGATTGGTCTGGCACGAACCACAGCAATATTGCTTAATGCTCTTTCGTGTTCACGTAATCAACTTAATATCACTTCCAACAGGATGTTTTATGAGGTCAGAGAACTATATCAACAGGGGTTCATCAACTTGGATATCGTAAAAAAATTCATTTCCTGGATTATCTTACCTACTTCCACTGATCAACCTACACCCTAGTAAGGCACAGTCATCATTCACATGGTCTGGGGACAGTTTCTGACATTTTTCATTTATAAATGCATGTGCCTGACAAAACAGAAATATTGTATGACTCGTATTTTATTTCACACTCGATAACAGGTATTTTTCACATACATAGATTTAGTTGAGTTTACCGCCACTTAGACTATTCCCGTTTATGTGGGAGGAAATCTCGAAGTAATATAGGTATGGAAATTTATCACTTTGGCAAAACACTTCAGCATGAGCATGGTACTAACAAACCAAGAAACATAATAAAACCGAGTAGGAGATTCGAACTCACTAACATACGTTTACGGCACGCCTGAGGGACACAACACATTCAGTTGAGTGGCCTACCTAGTGCAAACAATATGAAGTCTGATGATACAGGGGCATTGTGAATTCGATAGCAAACTCGATGTTTGTGTATTCATTGGTTAACATTTTCCTCATTCGAATTTCATTTCCCCGTAAGCTTGCTTTCAAAGTTGGTATTGACCACAATGACTAGTTTGTTTAGATGCAAAGCTTAAACACGAGCTATTCTCCGCAAATACACGTTTCTACAGAATGACGCAAGTAATGCAAAGGGAATATATAGCATGTTCTTATCACAATTCACGACAACATGATCTAAAAGTGACAACATATATATCTGCAGGGCAAAATGTGCATTAAATGTATTTTTTTATCTCTGTCGTTATATCGAGCGCTTTCAGGACACCACACTGGGTGTATCCTATACAATTTGTATATAGATCCCAACGTATAGGACTATATTGAACACGTGTAGCATACATCACGTGTATCCTAACTTACACTGTTACACTGAACACGTGTTGCATGTATCACCTGTATATAGATCCTAACTTATTCGTGTACACTTAACACGCCTAACATATATTACCTGTATATAGATCCTAACTTACATTGTTACACTGAACACGTGTTGCTTATATCACCTGTATATAGATCAAAACGTACACTGTTACACTGAACACGTGTAGCATATATCACCTGTATATAGATCCTAACTTACACTCTTACATTGAACACGTGTTGCATATATCACCTGTATATAGATCCTAACGTATAGAGCTACACTGAACAAGAGTTGCATATATCACCTGTATATAGATCCTAACGTATAGGGCGACACTGAACACATGTTGTATATATCACCTGTATATAGATCCTATCATACAGGGCGACACTGAACACATGTTGCATATATCACTTGTATATAGATCCTAACGTATAGGGCGACACTGAACACATGTTGCATATATCACTTGTATATAGATCCTAACGTATAGGGCGACACTGAACACATGTTGTATATATCACCTGTATATAGATCCTAACGTACAGAGCTATACTGAACACGTGTTGCATATATCACTTGTATATAGATCCTAACGTATAGGGCGACACTGAACACGTGTTGTATATATCACCTGTATATAGATCCTAACGTACAGAGCTATACTGAACACGTGTTGCATATATCACTTGTATATAGATCCTAACGTATAGGGCGACACTGAACACGTGTTGTATATATCACCTGTATATAGATCCTAACGTACAGAGCTATACTGAACACGTGTTGCATATATCACCTGTATATAGATCCTAACATATAGGGCGACACTGAACACGTGTTGCATATATCACCTGTATATAGATCCTAACGTATAGGGCGACACTGAACACATGTTGTATATATCACCTGGCGATAGATCCTAACGTATAGAGCGAACACGTGTTGCATATATCACTTGTATATAGATCCTAACGATCGACACTGAACACGTGTTGTATATATCAGAGCCTATACTGAACACGTGTTGCATATATCACTTGTATATAGATCCTAACGTACAGGGCTATACTGAACACGTGTTGCATATATCACCTGTATATAGATCCTAACATACAGAGCTACACTGAACACATGTTGTCCTATATATCACCTGTATATAGATCCTAACATATAGAGCGACACTGAACACGTGTTGCATATATCACCTGTATATAGATCCTAACTTCCAGAGCTACACTGAACAAGAGTTGCATATATCACCTGTATATAGATCCTAACTTACAGAGCTACACTGAACAAGAGTTGCATATATCACCTGTATATAGATCCTAACGTACAGAGCTACACTGAACACGTGTTGCATATATCACCTGTATATAGATCCTAACGTACAGAGCTACACTGAACACGTGTTGCATATATCACTTGTATATAGATCCTAACGTACAGAGCTATACTGAACACGTGTTGCATATATCACTTGTATATAGATCCTAACATATAGGGCGACACTGAACACGTGTTGCATATACCACCTGTATATAGATCAAAACGTACAGAGCTATACTGAACACGTGTTGCATATATCACCTGTATATAGATCAGAACGTATAGGGCGACACTGAACACGTGTTGTATATATCATCTGTATATAGATCCTAACGTGTTACACAGTACACGAGCTACACATACCACCTGTATATTAAGCCGAACAAACAGGGTTGCATCCCTACTTGAAATGCATATACCACCTACATATATCCGAACAGGTTTGCAGCTGTACATGGAGTGCCCGCACTACTGTGACATGTTATTGATTCTTATCTAAACGACCTGTCATCAAACGAAAGTAATGTAGCATAACACTCGGGCACGCCCAGTTCAAAGGATAACAGATTATACCTCTGATCACTGACACCTGCAAACAAGGCCCGGGGTCACCACTCAAACACTATATACACTTATGCACCTACTGTAACACAAGACCAGGTTTATTCTATAATTGTGTGTAAGTTCTTACTGAGATGTACAATGTGAATCTATGCGTTATTATAACACACCCACACCACCTACAACACCATATATCGCTTACTGGTAAAAAATCATAACAGAAAATATATACATGAACACACGGAAGTTGTTACACCTATACCTATCGGGCTTAAATATCATAGCTTGCAATCAAAGAATGAATACTAGAGAAGACATTAAATTTACCGTGGACTCTGGACGTCATAGCGAACTGTCATTAAAGTATCTCCTTTAAGGAGTAGATCTATCACCTACCTCACAGAGCTGGACGTTCGGCGCAGTGTGTGTTGCAGCTCAATGTTTTCGCAGCCAGATGTAGACAGGCCTACCACAACTTTCCCCAGTAGCGTTTGTCCAAGGCCGATGGCGTCACGTGACCGTCAGTTTCAGATCCCAATTCACCCACTTCCATGGCTGGAGGAAATTGCTCGTACTTAAATGAAGTGTAATTCTACCCAACGATGCGGAAGACAGGACTTAAGTTGTTTTTTATATTGTTAATCCAACACTAAACATTATTCGGAGATGAAAAATATTAGTTTCGAAGGATGATGGAAAAGCACAAGTTTTAATGTGAACATGATGCACTACTCGGAATTCTGTTACAATAATTCGATAGGAGTCACGGACTAGGACACAGTGCACGTGGACGCTGATAAACGCGACCTCACTCTAACACACAAAACACTTCGAATATTGTATTTTCAATGAAATAAACATGAGAGATACCACAACATGAAGTCGAGTAGGCCATTGGTGTATACCCCAACAAACCCGGGTTCGATTCCCAATACATACATGGTTGTTGTGAGGGGGAGAGAAATAGAGATAGGGGAGAGACACACGCAGACTTAGTTACTAAAACAGACAGAATTGGCAAATTGTGTTAAATTTCGTTACGGTATTAAATGTAATGGAGCGCTAAATATATAGACAGCTAATTATTTTTATCATGGCGAGACACTGTTTAGGTCAAATTAATCAAACTGCAAACTGTAAATAATTGTCTTAGCTAAACCTAGTTTTAACCTTAGTGGATATAATGATAATCATTATACATTCATGCACTGTATGAGATTTAGTGTATTTTGAGTGAGTTAGATTGAATTTCGATACTGTATTTCTATTACATCACAGCGTTTTATTTACACGACGTATTGAAGACAAACAGGTGCAGGTGAAAGACGCCTACAACATTGATGAGGCCCACAAAAGGCGCCGTCGGGCCGCGACTCGTCACGTGAATGAATAGGTATTGTGAAGACATGAATTGATACGCTTGGCACAAGGGACGCACCTATACTCATCGACTTGCACCCCAGGGGCCCATTTCTAATATTGATACACACAGTGTTCTATACGGTTGAGCAAGACGACTAAGAACACTATTGTTCTAAAATACAACATATTTCTTGCGTTCTGTTTGCTGAGGACGAAGACACAATTTCAAGAAGCTTGACTACAATGCTTTATAATTAATCTTTTATATTCTATTCTCTTCATGTTACCGTCTGCAATGTAAAGGATTCAGATGCCACCTGGCTGTACTTGTTGTCTTGCAAATGTGATTTTTATACGATGCATTTCTTATGGTAAAGGAAGCTCTTTAACCTTATGTATTGTAGCCCAAAAGAATCTGCAAACACATCTAACAGTAGCTGGTCACTCTGACCTTATCATGACACCTACGTGTAGTTCATCTGGGAAGACAGTGCGCCCGTGTCACTCTGCCTCTCAATTCCATATCATTATTAGTGCACAGCTTTATAGATAAATACTTCCTATTCACTGAAAACGTTCTCGTTCAACTTGATACCGAAAGACGCCGGCGGAGGGATCAAGACTTTATCTAAGGAGGTCATCTTTGCAATTTCAAGAAATCTTCCAATTGAAGAGTGTTTCTGACCTATGTGATGTGACTAGACAGGGGAACCCTGGACACTTTTATATTATGGGTTAGAAGGTTGGTGTATCCGGTGTTACGAACTGTGGATTAAAATATTTACTGACAATCTTATCAAGATACTTGTGTTTCACGGAGTGCACCTGATACACGCCTTCTCTATCTTCAGCAGGACATACAATGCTCTCCTTGAAGACGAATTTGAACTCAGTTTCAGCTCTTGCTTGACCAAGTATTCTCTTGGTTTTGATGGACATATGTTCGCTATAAAGTTTTGGATACTCCCTATGTGAACGCTTAGCGCTAGGAACGCTGCCAGCGAAACGGCGAGACAACCTCTGCCGCATCATATTAGTCAATTAGTCGGAGTATCAGAAACATAATTCCTACATCGCCGATTTCTCACACTAACAAATCTCCAGGCTCGATCGACTAACGGTCCTTTGTGTTTACTGCAGGCCTGTGATCCGTTCTCCTGTGGAGAGACCAGATTTTACTGGATAGATTGCCCATCATTGTCCATTAGACCATTAAATGTTGGAGACGTAGTAGTCAGAGCATGGCCAAAACATTATCACGGTTCGGATTAGAAACCCAAACACATATATGTAGGCAAATCAACCGACACTAAATCCAGCAGTCAGTATTTGTTCACGTCTGAAGTTGTATTCCGTAACTGATACGATAGGGGACACCAGGAACGATCACGTCAAGCTCCATTGCTATTGCATACGACGTGTACACGACTAATGTTTAGCTGTCTGCCACTTAAGAACCAAAGTACCGGGCCATGGGGAAAAAAGGAGTATATTAAGAGCCTCAACTGCTCTAACAAACCGTTCCTTTAAGGTGTTGTAATTGAATACAAATTCGGTGTACATGTCCAGACTTCTTTTTCAATATATTGGGGCCCACTTTAACATCTTAGGTAATGTTTCGTAATTGTAATGAATATTCACAACATACGCTTACCCAAATATATTGCTTGCAAACGCTAAGGTCATGACTACTGGGAACATTTTCAGCCCGAATATCGTAATTGTCTCTTTTCGTCAGAACCCTCATGGGTCGTTATTCAAAGATGTTTCGGAGAAAGTTTATTAGGTCGTGATCGGCATGAACTGAACCAATGTTGAGGCTAAACATTCGTGTCGGAAGACAGATTACGTATATTTAGGGAAGCTAAATTGTAACAAGGTATCTATTCCGGGATTTAAGAATCAAGAAGGGCGTCCTGCAGCAAATATACCTTACCGATTTGTTAAACAGGAATGGTTACATTTGGGAAAAAGAGTCAATTTCATTTCCTCGAGATGTATCCATTTAATTCACATCATGCACAAATTTGCCAAAACTTTCGCAAAGCTACGTTGAATTTGACATGCCAGCATTGTGTAAATAGCAATCTCAGTCCCTTGCATTTACCATTTCACAAGTAATCAGACACTCCTGTACCGATATTACAGGAATAGATGGAACTTATGGGGCTGATTATGGTGCCAATCTCCTTTGTCTTTTCTTTGTTAAACGTTGTGTCAAAACTAGATCGCTTCGTTACAGGCCTAAACGAAAAAATGTTACAACTGAGTGGTTTCCCTTTATTTGCAATGAAGTTAACACAACCACGCGTGACTATACGGTCTGGACTTTCACTTCTAGAAACGAAGTTATCTTGTGAAAACGTAAATCTGATTGTCTAAATATGCTTATATAAACTCGGCCTACTTAAGATAATACCTTGACAGGACAATGCCAACTAGTAAGACGGATACCTTTCTTAAATGTCAGTAAGTCCTGATGCCAATATCTTACCTAGCGACTGGAAGTGTCTATTCATCAAATTCCGTTAATTTTTCGTTCTCGCCTTATTATTGCATCATATTGTTCGTTTCCCTAGCATTTGTGTAAATTCGAAATCTTAATAATTATCAAAGTCGCTATTGAGAATTTTCTTTGCGGTATTTCAAGAAGGTGGCTCTCTCATTTATCACACAGAATACAGTTAATAAAACGACAGCATATGTTATATTATGCCCATTTCTGTATCATTAATTAGATATTACTGCATCTTGGGATGTATTTACGACATGGAGATGATTGCATAAGAAAAGCAAGATTTATGGATGTCAACTTCTTTATTGTGAATACCACGACGTTTCGGAGTGTATGCGTAGTGTATGCATGCTCCAGGTCACTTGATGAAGGAGCAAGCATAGACTCCGAAACGTCGTGTTATTCACAATGAAGTTGTGACCTGATGAAGGAGCAAGCATACACTCCGAAAGAATACGGATAGCGGGTTGATGTTGGCAGCCTTATTAATATGCTCTCGCGTTCGCCATTGTTTTTGCTTGCTCCTCTATCAGGTTGCTTCTTTATTGTGAATAACACGACGTTTCGGAGTCTATGCTTGCTCCTTCATCAAGTGAATGGGGGCGTGGTGGGCGAGCTGGCTAAGGCGCCAGGCTAGTGATCCAGCGAGCATGAGGTGCCGGGATCGAGCCAACTTGTGACCGGGTGTAAAAACCTAGGAGTCAACTTTGTGTGCAGACTCTTTTAGTGTTGTCACAACCCCTAGTGTACAGTACACAACCCTGTGCACTTAAAAGAACCCACGAATCCGTTGGTATATGACCAGATGGTGGCCACATGAATACGTGCGAACACCTAGTTGCGGGTACAGCTATGTGCAGTAAACTTGGACAAAGTACTGTGACTGTGTGTCCCAGTTCACCCAGCTGTGAATGGGTACCTCGTAAGGATAGAAAGCCGCAATAACTCGGTGCGCCTTGTGGCAGCAAGAGCTGTATGATCCCCAGGGAGTAGAGATTGATCATAAGATGTGCCGTTGAGATTGACATCCAATGGTCGAGGGAACAAATACCAGCGCCTTGAGGATGCACTAGTGTGTGAATATGTATGCATGCTCCAGGTCACTTTATTTATTATTATTATGTTTTACAGATTAAAGATGAAAAGGCAGCAGAGAGGGTTCGGGTGATCCTGGCACAGTCAGGCTGGTAAGGCTCATCATCAGTTCAGGGCCCTAGCCCCCTCTACACGCAGCAGGTAGGTACCAGGAGGTACCAAACCAAGGGCACCAAGAACAATGGGGAGCCTGACGACAGTGTACTTGGGATGCAAGCGAGACCTTTCAAAGGCGAGGTCCGCATATTTATCATGCTTTTCCTGAAGCTTGCCAATCACGTTGCTGTCAAAAGGGACAGAAAATTCAATGATATAAATAAATTCATTGGCTTTATCAAAAAGGACAAGATCAGGTTTGTTGGCAGGAATTCTTCTGAGGCCTATTCCACAGAAGTTTGAAAGCATCATTTTCCATGACGCCCTGGACATGTTCAGGGTCGTACCATGGATGGACCTCAGAGTCAAAGCCACAGACGGTAGTAAAAGCA